ATCCCCGACATGGTGGAGCAACAACCGGGAGATATTCCCTTTGCTCGCCAGAGTCGCACGCAAGTACGTGTGTGTTAGTGCAACGAGCGCTCCATCTGAGAGGGTTTTCAGTGTTGCTGCAAATGTTGCCACCCCTCTCAGATCCTCTCTCAAACCGTATATGGTTAACATGCTGGTTTTCCTTGTAGGTAACAAGGACGTGACCGAGCTATAAATCACCGTCATTCGTGTGTGTGAAAGTGAAATGCCCGGTACATGTAATTTTTTAATGCTTGATTTTAAACAACTAAACAAAATGGAGACTTGTTTCTTATTTGTTAGATGCTGCAGCCAAATTTGCATTTACAAGTTTAACCTTCTCCTGAATTTTGTTGTTTTTAAGTTCAGTCGGACTCCGACTGTCGGAGAAACAAACGTTACTGCGATTTGTGTTGTTACTGCCCTTTGATCTGCATTCAGTAAAGTGTTATTAAAGAAGGCACGGCAATTTTTAACCTTTTTTAAATGTGTAAACATTATGTTTAGATAGTACTGCAATAAAAAAGGGCTGCAATAATATCGCACACCGCAATATTAAGCCACCCTGAATCACCGCAGGGGGAATTCCTCAACCGCGACAGCCCTACCCACCCCCTCCGAAGCGCTTGATGCGCCTGATGTGAACAGAGGAGGAGCGGACAGCACATGAATTTCATGAGCGATCCACTTCGCGACGCTTCACAGCTTGTGTGTTCCGGGGGTTATTGTGTTCCAAGAATTAAATAACTAAGAATAAACGGCTCCGACACTGCCTCATTGCTAACCGTTTGTTTGAGCACATATGTTTGTTTATGTGACGAGCTCATTTCTTCTTCCGCGATCGCCCAGTAAACATTTTGATAGCGGCACTCTTTTGCCCTCTAGTGGCACAAAATATGTTACACCCAGTGTTGGGTTGGGCATCGTTTGATTTTGAACGATTACTATTCCAATTCCTCGTTTCGATTCCGGTTCCTATCGATTCCCGATTCCGATTCTTTGAAGGGGAAGAGAGGAGGAGCTGAGGGTGGGGCTGTAAGGCTGGGATCAATTGACGACACCCGGTCGAACTAGCTACAAGCTAACCTGAAGCTAACCCAAAGCTAACGCGGAGGTGGGAGTTAAGCTAACGGAAGTAGCAACCTAGCTACAACCGGAGTTAACAACACCAGAGCTTCTGGGTCAGAGATACGCCGGGCTGACCGCTGGGTAAAACCGGGTGGAACACAGAGGTCTCTGAGAGCTCCACAAGCCGGCAGCCGCACAGCAGACAAGCGCCGCTGCGATCTGAGATGCGCAGAGCTGCCGCTGGGGAGAACCGGGTGGAAAGGTTTCCATCCCAGAGCTCCACAAGCCGGCAGCCCGTGCAGCAGACAGGAGCCGCGATCAGACAGAGATGCGCCGAGCTGCGGGGAGAACCGGGTGGAAAACATCGGTCTCCCGAGAGCTCCACAAGCCGATAGTGGGAACCCAGCTCCACCAACATGTTATATTTCAACCCATTTTCTAAAGTGCAGCATTATGTTAAATGCACTGGGTTTTACCCTATTACATTTAAATTTCATGGTTAAACAGTACATGTTAAAATCTAAGCTCAGCTCGGCAGTGACCTAAAATACATAAATATAATTTTACTTACCGAAAAAAATGAAGTGGAGACTCCTTGGACGCTCTATTAGTGCAATTAATGCCACAGCAAGTCATTTTGTCCAACAATTGCACAAAAATATCCAAAACAGAATACACACACACAGAGACTCAAAATCCTGGAGCAGTTTCCAGGCCAGACCGAGGCTCTACTGAGGCCTTTCCACGGAGCTAGCTCTGTGGTCACGTGGGTCTGATGCTCATTAATTATACAGAATTTTAGGCTTTTAATAAACTTAAACAGAAGAGTGAGAACAAATCACCCCCCTCAGAGTTGTTATGAGTGTAAACTAGATCATTTAAACCAAAAACATGTTTTGGTACCAGGCTGTAAACATGTTTATTTCTGCTGTGAAATTGGTATTTTTAACATGGGAGTCAATGAGGATTTGCTCCCTTCTGACACCAGCCCCCAGTGGATGAGGGTGGAACTGCCATTTTTGTCACTTCCGGGTTGGGCCCAATTTTAGAGCTGCATTGTGGGGGCTTGGCCCTACTTGATGAAATAAATTTAACTTCAACATGACACATCCAAACACATCAGGAGAAAAATGTTGGGAACACAGCTGCGGATCTTTGGGAAGTTGTGTCCGTCCACAGGCATCTTCCCACTGCTTTCTCTACTTCTTGCCAGTGGGAAAGCTGTGTAAACTCACATCACTCCACTTGTTGCCCTCTGACTGGAAATTACATCCAAAAGCAGCACAATGTGGCATTTTACTTCATTATTAATACGGTGAGCGCGTAAACAAACACTAGCGTCAATAGCTATTCTTCCATGCAACCAGTGTACGTCATCGCCCCCAGAGTGCGTAGCATGCGGAAAACATGGCGTCCTACGTATGTCAACAAATGTACTAAATATTATAGATTTATTAATAAACAGCAGTATTTTGTGTGTTTCTAACAACAGAAAACTTGTGGCTTTTTAGGGCACACACGTCCTCATAGCTGGAGATCCTTTTTAACAAGAGGAAAAGACAAATGTTTAAAGGTGTCTGAGTGGAACACACGGACCAAACACTGTTATGAAACCTACATCTAACAGAGAAATCTGTGTGGAAACCAACCTGTGTCCATTTCACTGAGTTGTACATTTATAGGAGAAGCTAAAGGCCCTAATTGGTGTCTCTTGAACCTATAATTACAACAGAGTTGACACTGTTTGCTGTCGGTGTGATGCTTGCTTTGAGGTTGCTTGGTAACTGAGGCAAGAGGATATTCTTCTTTGATCTATTTTTGCTCAAGAAGTAGAAAATAAGTTTAATACATAAAGGTCATATATCATGCAAAATCCAGTTTTTGGAGCTTTTGCTATTGTTGTATTGTTTCCTCATGAAACTCACCCCCAAAGCAGTTTTTGGGTCATGCTGGCATGTATGTGCAGTCTCCAGGTCTGCAGCTGTGTACTGTTGGGGAATTCACACAGTGGGAGGCAGGGTTGACCTAATCATGCATCTTTTTCCCGGGTTGAAGGGATAGCTCAGGAAAATAACTCGATAAAAAATGACATCTCAATAGTGCCAACGATGTATTTAATCATTCATTGTGCCGACCATTGGTCTGGAAGGTGCAAAAAGGCATGATGCAGGTCCATTAAAGACATTCCACTTTAGTCACAGCAAAAGATGAACACGGATGTCAAAACTGAATCCCTTATTAATAATAATACAGTTTATTTAGAAACACCCTTCAAGGCACACAATGACATTTTACAGCAATAAAACAAGCAAAGAAGAAATCCAAATTAAAAATGGTGAAGACCCTGAAAATACGAACTAGGTGGTAAAACAAGTGCAGGAGAAAGCTGTGACAAGCAGTGGGGTGTCTGGTAGGTGGGTTTGGGTCTAGATGTAAAGGTGGACAGTGTCAGAGTTATGCATGACTTCAGGGAGATCATTCCAGGGAACTGAAAGCTCTGCTCCTCATGGAGCTGAGACAGAACAGTGGAACAGAGGCTGATGGAGGAGGATGATTCTTCTTCCAGCTCTCGGAGGGTGCAGACACGTTTTTTCCTCCTCTCCTCCATATCTTATCGTCAAGGCCCTTTGTCTGTCTGTGTGTGCTGGGTGCACAGCTGCTTCTGCATTTTTCTGGAAACTGAAATTCACTCAAATGGATCTCGTCAGTTGGTCTCTCAACGCGATTGATGAAATTTTTTCGACGATGAGAACGGGAGAAGGGGCTCCCGGATGTCCTGCCGGGACAGACCCAGTTGGACACATCATGGACTCCTGGAAACCGTGGAACTTGATCTGTCTTCCTCAGCTGTCTGTGGAGGACTCTGAAGATGTGTTGGTATTTGTGGTGTTGGTGTAGGGTTTCCTGCTCATTGGCCTTGGAGGCTACCTGGCTTACCGGAAAATTAACAAGTTGGCCTGATCCCGAAACTCAGAGATGGTTTGTACCACACTGTGAATTCACAGACTCAAATAATTGTGAAGATGAATCGTAAACTTGGGACTTTGGCGGAGGTTCATTCTTTGGCACAAAAGATGGATGCCATCAAGGATAGAGTGGACAAATCAGCACAGATTGGGATAGATTAATGACCATTATTGAGATTTTGAGAGGTTGAGGACCAACAAACTGTAAGACAGAGAGGAAATTATCTCTGTCTGGCCCCAAAACAATTTCTAATCGGAATCTGGCGTCCTTGAGCCAGCAAGGCTACAATGAAAACTCCCTCCTCAGAACATATGTGGAATGTGCCGTCGCTATGGCAACTCAACTCTGTCTCCTTTCCCAGCCTGGGCGGGACTGCGGGAAGGCCGCTGAATCGTTCCAGGGTCACTGCAACCCTCCAACCCTCAATGCTCCGCCCCTATCCACACTGAGGTGACATGCGCTGCTTATCGTGGCTGCAGGAACTGAAGTGGGGATAGTCCCAACCCACCACCCCACCTAGTGGACACTTATGTTATGTTGTCTGAAGTCTGTTGCATATCTGTCTGAGGTGTTTTTTTGCAGAGCAAAGCTGCCCTCCTGGTGGAGGGTAACTCTGAAGTGCCTTTTTTTTCCCCTCCACCTGAACCAATCCTCATGTAACCCTCTTATCTCTATGAAGGTAGCGCGACTCGGGTTGCGAATGACCACAGTCACCAATTCTTGTCATGTGTCTTGCCCATGCATGTCAGATCTCTGAAACGTGTGTACTGAAACTGTAATTTCCCTCTGGGATTAATAAAGTTTCTTTGAATTAAATTGACTGATTTGATTGATCTGAGGGAGCAGATGGGGGAGAAGTGAGAAGGATTTTGAATTAATTGCATTGTTTTACAGGAAGCCTGCTTTGAGGACAGGGCTGACATGATGACTCGTGGGAGTTTTGGAAATAACGCAGCAGCAGAGTTCTGGACCAGTCGGACTATGAGGGACGTTTGTGGTAGACCAACCAGAAGTGAATTTTAGTTAATTGAAAGGGGGTTAGAGAGGGTGAAGGCGATTGATGTTGAAATGCATTAATGATGACAAAAACTTACAGGACAGCTCTAGTGTGTTCTCCTTTTTTCTTGAAGCATTTCTAAGGTATGGGATCGGGACCCGGTATCGGCAGATTCTTAAATCAAATGGCTCTGAGTCGGATCTGGAGCTAAACAAACATGATCCAAACATCCCCAAGAACAACGTTGTCCTGAATGATCTCAGGTTATGAACCGCTCAAGTTGGGTACAAGCAGGAGTCTCCTTCAGCTTCCTGCTCGAGCTCTATTGGCACAATTCAACAGATGTTAAAATGGTACAAATGAACTCTCTTATGTGTGTTTCACAGCTGAGTAGCAGCTTTGTGGACCCACAGATGAACGCGTCGGACCCGCTCTTGGATATTGCAGTGGGCAGACTCAGCTGAAGGTCATGACTGAGCAAGAGGAACCTCGAGTCACAGCCAGGGTTCGTCTGGAAACCTCTCAGCACTTACAGGAAGAACATTACCAAGGAATACTGATGGGAATTAGGCCTGGACAATATAGAAAAATAAGATATCAATAACAATATTTTTATATTGATAATTATAGAAAAATATTATAAAAATTGTAGAGAATTATTAATGTGCTGCCCTGGCTATGTAATTTTGGTATTTTTATTTTTGCTCCGCCTCATCTTGCTGCCTCTTCTCTGTTTTGGTTTGAGAGAGGAGGGCCTGGTGCCGTAGCGTGCCTGAGTCTGTGGTTTTGATTGGTCAGGAGTAAGTAGTGTAGGGCTGAAACGATTCCTCGACTACCTCGAATAATTCGAGTACAAAAAATCCTCGAGTCAAATTCTCTGCCTCGAGGCTTCGTTTAATTCATGTTAATTAATTCATGGCTTTGCAATCGCCCGGGGTCACGTTTCACCCGGACCGAAATAAATGACGCACATACACACTGCACTGAATGCACACGCGAGTAGCGAATGTAACTTAACTTTCTCTTAAGCCATGGCGGACAACGTGGACCGCGGTGGAGTGCGAAAAAGACACAAAATGTCAACGATGTGGGACCATTTTTCACGTCGTAGGGCGGAAAACGTAGTCCAGTGTAAATGGATTTAGCCTACCACAACACCACATCCCCCATGCAGCAGCACCCGACCAGGAAACATCCACGTGTAAATGTCTCTTCTGCAAGCGGACTCTACAAGATAATGCATTTTAGCCTGTATTTCTATATATTCTGTGGACACTGTGCGACTTTTTCATTTGTAGCACTCAGTTTCAGCTCACACCGTACGTCTGGTAGCAACACGTCGGACTTAAAATGTGCTAAAAATAGCAGTTTTTACAACACGTCGGACTTTTTATTGTGTTGTTTTTGACGTCCGTTGTCCCTCGGGATTGCTGCAGGAGGACACGGGTACTTATGAGAGTGGCGGAGGAAAACGAAAGGAAGTAAATAAATGTTTTGTGATCAGTATAATTTGACTAAACCACGGCAAACATGCTTTCGACAATCCTTGTTATTGTGAGAGAAAAAAAAGTGTAGAAATGAAAACGGACGTGTGTTAATAGGGAAACAGCTGGCGAGACATGTCTGCGCATGCGCCGTGAGCGGTTCTGGTGCTGTTTGGGTCGCAGCCGCTCGCGTTTGTTTACTGTGAAGTAAAGTTGAAGTGCTGAAGTTTTGAAAACTAATTTTGAATGAAACTTGAAGAATAACTGGCAGTTGCTTGCTCATTTAAAGAGGTCTTTCATATTTTATAACATCCTATTTGATATAATGGTTTACAAACACAAAAGGGTAATTTATTAGAGTACTCGATTAATCGATAAAAGATTCGATAGCTGCAGCCCTCAAGTAGTGAGTCTAGTATGCTGCTACCTGAGAGGTTAGAATGAACAGAGGAAACTTTTTTATCGAAGTTTTATCAACCCCTTTTGTCTCTCTCGTACCACATGCCTATCGATGGAAATATTGAACTATTGAATTATCGTCCAGCCCTGATGGGAATGCAAAGCGCTGTGGCCGATTTGTGAAAAGCATCAGGAAGACGATGTGTACGTTTCTCTCTGTAGCCGGTGTGCTTTTCCTCATGGAAATCAGAAGTTTGCTAACTGGATCCGGAGTGAAACGGGAAGAAGAGTTGCTCGTGGAAGAACAAAAAAGGAAACAAATGGTTGTTTGTGTTTTTTTTAAATGAGGTTATTTAAATAAATTGGCTTAAGATTGAAATGATTGGTTCTGTTTGGTTCTGTGCTTTTAAAAAAAAACTACAGAATATATACTCTGTTTGGCTTGTCTACCAAAAAAAAAAAAACGGTCAAAGAGGGACGAGGCCTCTGCCATTCAGAGATGACCGTTTGTCTGCAACAAGTTTTCTTATTGACACATAATAACATCATTTTCACCAATGTGGCTAAAAAAGACCAAGTTCACATAGAAACTGCTTTTTACTGGTTTCCTTTTAAAACGTCATTGGACACCCTGAGTTTAACATGCAGACCAGTGCTCCACCCACAGAGGCTCGGGCGTGGCGCTGGGGCACGGCTACGAGAGCATCAGTGGACACCGTAAGTTGCTTGTCTTCTCCGTGTCCAGAAACGTTCTCGATCTTAACTCCAGCTGACTGGTGGTGATCACATTAGAGGAAGAAACCAAACCATTAACGATCATTTCATACCGCTGTCCTTAAAATGTCACCATTCTTTTCTTTGAAAGGGACAAACTGGGCCTCTTCCCACCAAAGCAGTTTAACGACTGAGGTTTTAGCAGCCAGCTCGTGTGGTAAAGTTTCCGTGTGTTAGCTCGTGGCTGAAAACGATCTAAACATCCTTTCATCAGCAGCTCTGGTTCAGAGAAGGGAGAGTGCTTCCTGAGCTGGAGGAGTTGCTTTGTCACTGGAAAGTGAAAGAACTGGTTTTACACGTGGCGCCTTTCCAGCAAAGGGCTGAATCTGCTTCCAGTGAAAAGGAAACGGTGAAATTAAAACATGCTGCTGTAATTTAAACTTGTAAAAATGTACTTTCTGTCTTGCAGAATAATTGTAACATGACCACAGTCTTAAAATACGGGCACAGCCCTAAAGGATTATGCAAATCCGACGCTTTGCATCCCTTTGTGCTGCTGTGTGGGTCTCTACTGAGTGTTTCCAGAAAGCCTGTGCTTCTGTGAGCTGTTTGAGATGTTTTCCTTATTGCGGTGTCATAACGAGGAACCCCTGCACACACGTAGATGCTTACGGAGACCCTAGATGTGGAGAAGCGGCGGCTCTACTTTAAACCTAATGGATTTTTAAGCTCTGCCTCACAGCGCCCAGGTGGGCGTGGCCAGCAACAGCTTAGTTGTTGAAAAGGCTAATTCTGAGATGGTGTCATATGAGACAGATGTTTTGACTAAATCTTCATGAACATGCTTTTGCATCGACCATAGAACTATTATGCCTTGGAGAGATCTCCATTTTTGCACCTGCACATGATGCTTTGAAGTGAAATCTGAATGTTGGCAGCTTCAGCCTCATGTAAGCGACACATTATCCAGACGTCCTGAATGGAGAGCTTGTCTTCTCTGACAGCATCAGGCCTGCAGGGAGGGGAATCTAGGGCAGTGGTTAAACACAGATGTAGTGATGCTTGGACTCAGCCAAGTGGACATGATGACTTGACAAACCCAGCAGGATGCGGAAAGGCTAGCTCTGATTTAGGGGCCGGCTACTCGGTCAATACAACCTCTGGAAAATACCCGAGGCTCCAGCTGCGCATGGTGTACTCATCATTCCCATGGACACTAAAAGCGATGAACTAAATATAAAGCGGGTTCATGGTTTTAATTGTCTGAGAATAAATCTTGCAGCTCGGACACATTCACCTAAACGGTGAGCAGCTCGTCTTTTGGCTTTCACTTTTACTGGATTTACAGAGAAAACATTTGTTTTCCCATTTGGCACCGTGTTTTTGGAGATTCAGCAGGAATTCCGAGTGAGTTTTAGCTTTAGTCATACCCCCCCCCCCCATGTCTGTTTTGTACAGCTGGCTAAAATACCTCATTAGACCAAAGCAAAGAGACAGTCGTAAGATTGCAGTGCAGTTTTCTCTTCACTTGACCAATCAGTGAGGATAAAGATGGGGCTGAGGCTGTGGCCATCTGAAATCTGCTCCGCTCCCGGCTGATTTCTACATCTTCAGCCACCTTATCAATACTGGTGAGCTGCTTTTTCTTCTGGGGGGAGGGTAATGACTCTAGATTATGGCCTCTGAGCTTTTATCTGACATCACCTGGAGGAGAGAAACGGCTGTTTGAAAAATGAAAAAGCTGTCGTGCGTCTAAAACTCCAGCCTGTTGACGTTTCGATTCATCTGAGGTGCTAGAGTCCTACTGAACTCTGACTAGAACAGGCGTGGGGAACCCTGGTCCTCGAGCGCTGGCGTCCTGCTTCTCCAACACTTCTGATTCAGCAGCTCATCAGGCTCTGCAGAGGCCTGTTAATCAGCTGCTGATTGAAATCAGGTGTGTTGAAGCAGGGCTACAACTAAAATATGCTGGACCAGGGTTTCCCACCCCTGGACTAGAAGTTCAGTTCAGAGTCCCTACTTTAACCTGAGTAGGTGAAAGACTTCTTGAGTTTCCAGACTCGATCAGCAACAGGAAGTCATTCAGGTGTCTTTGTTCAGAGAAGAGAGTTTAAGGGCAGGTTCTCAGTTAATTCTGTAATGCTCGTTTGGTTCTCGGGAATGTTGTAATGAAGTGTCGCGGTGAAATGCTCGATCATCATAAAGCTTGGTTTATGCGTGACGCATTTACTTTCCGCTTGGTGATGCGGCTCGCGGATGGAACGCGCTTCACAACTCGCAGCATTTATGGTTTGTGCGGCTCGTCTCTGCGGTGAGCCAATATTCTCCCAAACTGTAGGGGGCAGCATGGAGCTCTACGGCATGCATCCAACACTACACCGTAGTAGAAGTAAAAGTTACTGTTCTTTACAACATGGCATTGCAACATTTTTTTTAACATTATGTTTATTGAAGTTTATAATACAGAACACTCAAGAATAATAGTACAGTTAACATGGGATTTATATTAAAGAACATAGTCCTCAAAATAAACAACTATATATAAAAAAAAACAAAAAAAAACCAACAGTAATAAACAACAAAAGAAAGAAAAGGGGGAAAAAAAAATATATATATATATAATCAGCACCAAGTATCACTTTCCAGATTAATTCACTTCATAATGTCTCAGAAACTCGATTAGAGGTAACCATATTTCTTCAAAATATGCCCCCTTTCCCCTGACAATATAAGTAAGTCGTTCCAATGCAATACATGATGCCATCTCCTTGACCCACATATGGCTTGAGGGTACATCCATTTTCTTCCAATACAAAGATATTAAGCGCCTCGCTTGCAGGAGTCCAAAATCTATTAACTTTATCTGTCTGATGCTAAAGTCACAGTTCTTTGGATATATACCCAACAC